GGGTAACCAGCTGCTGCTGTTTAAAGATGAAAATTAAAGTCAGTTTATTTAACTGAAGAGAAGGGGCCCTGTTTTAAATAGCTAGTGGCTATTGTGGCCTGCAAGCATCATAACCAGCTGCTGGAAGATTTACCTGTGTGGATCATTGCCATTATTCTAGAGACAGGCTGGCCCTGGACCATGGAGAAAGAACACTGTTGCTCAGGCTGTTAACCACACAGGGTAAAGCAGGGGGACCCCATCTCAAAAAAGTTGTATTGGAATACGAAAAGGTGTCAAAAGGACAAACTGATTAGGGTATGGAACAGTTTCCATATGAGGAGAGATTAAGAAGACTTGGGCTTTTCAGTTGGAAAAAGAAATGACTAAGATGAAATATGATGGAGGTCTATAAAATCATGGCTGGTGTGGAGAAAGTAAATGGGGAAGTTTTATTTACTCCTTCCCCTAACACAAGAATTAGGGGTCACCAAATGAAATTAATAGTTTGCAGGTTTAAAACAAATACAAGGAAGTATTTCTTCACACAGTACACAGTCAACCTGGGGAACTCTGTCCGAGGATGTTATGAAGGCATAATAGGGTTCAGAAAAGAACTAGATGCATTCATGGACGGGGCTCGACAAACTATAGAATCTATTTGCCCGTGGCGAGTAGATTTCAGCTGCGCGCCCCGTTTACTGGCAGCGCGCGCATGTGCAATGGAGCTCTGGCGCATGCACAGTGCGGGGCTGGCGAGCGGCTTTCGCCGCCGTTTGTCAAGCCCTGTTCATGGAGGATAGGTCCCTCAATTGTTTTTGGCTAGGATGGGGTCTCTAGCTCCTATTTGCCAGAAACTGCAAGTGGACGACAGATCATTTGATCACCTGTTCTTTTCATTGCTTCTGGGGCACTGGCCACTGTTGCAGGACAGTAGACGGCCATTTGGTCTGACTCAGTATGGCCGTTCTTATGCAATGTTTAGTAGGGCGCTGTTTGGATTCTACAAAATGCAGCTATGGCTTTTTAGAATGTCTATTTTCCCTTTAAACTTAGCAGTAAGCAAGGTCCTTTTGCCTTAGAGGCTAAAAGCATCTGGAAGGAAATAGCTCTTAACTAGGAAGGGCAAATGGTTGGTGTAGAATCCCAATGTGAGTGCAGGAGGTCCGTTTTTGACTGAGGGTGGAGAGGAGGGGGAATCTGGTCTGGATTCCTTGGGGTTGAGGGGAATGGACTAGTACTTAGGGACACACTTTGCAGCGTGGCTAGGAAGTGCTTTTTCAGATGGCCACCTGTGATAACCATCATAGCAACATTAGGGTTGCCAAGAGTATTGAAAAATGGTGGCATGTGTAATCCACCATTTTGTAATCCCTGAGAGCAATCCTCTTTAGTTCATGTTTAATGCAAGTTATTTGGATTAAAAACTTCATTCATCATCTGGTAAAGCCTCTGACTTGGCTTTTATAAAGCAGGCCTAGCTATGTAGCACTGCAGGACAGGTTTTACTGTGACCTCAATGCAACATGAAACAAAGGAACATTGCAATCGTTTATGGCTGTTTTTTCACAGTAGAGCTGGTCAAGCATTGGAAAATCTCAATATATCTTTGTCCAAAATCATCACACAAAAGTATTTCAACTTTTTGTTTGGCTGAATGAAAAAATTTTTGGAAACTTTGTTTTGGCTCAGTCTAATGTTAAACTGTGTCTGCATGAACTCCTACAGTGCCTCAGGGTCGCTTGTGTCTTGTACTTCACTCTCTTCTATGGGCTTAAGGCCCCACCAGGCTAAATCTCTCATGGTGCACTGAATCATTTCACTCAGAGGGGAGACTGGGTTTTGAAGGATATAATCTGGCCAGGGAGTCCAACCTATGGAGGAGAACAAAGATGTAAGGGACTCAAACGACAGCTCCCATCAGGTATCAAAGTATCACTGGCTAAGGCAAATTAATGTTGAATGCACTTAAATTAATTTTGCTTTGACAAACAAGGATGTTTTATTTGGGGCTAATCCAATGTAAAAAAAATACTTTATTTAGATTTTTGCAGTGGAAAAGTTTGATTTTTGAAGATGGAGCATTTTCTATTGAAAAAAATAACAGAAAATTCCTCATTAATATGAGACTTACATATTATTTAAATGTACATATTCCCTGTTTTAAAACTAGGTCAGATAGCATAATCCACTAGATAAGTACATTTTAACTAATAAGTCATCATAGGAGCCTCCAATTGTTATAGGTACTAGACAAACAGTTTCTATCCTAAAAGGTGGGGCTATGGTCTCACCACAGTCATAAATTTGTGTTACTTCCCCAAGTATATATCTTGATGCAATCCCAAGGTGATATCTGAAATTTTTAGAGTTGGAGGAATAGGAGGGTCTATTTGAATATGCATGCACAGCTGTGATGGTTTAGTGTTCATAGAATCTCAACCAAGGGGCAGGAGTAGCTCAGTGGTTTGAGCATTGCCCTGCTAAACTCTGGGTTGTGAGTTCAATGCCTGAACACTAAACCATTACTGTGAGATGTAATACTGGGGATCTAGTGAGGCCACTGCTGATCCCAAACTAAGGTCCCATTGAGCTTAACTTACACCCTTCAGTTTGTTGTGTCTGTACTTCCGTTACATAGTTCTTTGGGTATATCTATCGGGGGGGGAACTGGTGCCTGGGAGAAGCTGTCTTCTGTCAGAGATGCAGCAGCATGGTGCGTCCCAAGAATAGGAACAGCAGCACGCTGGATGCCAGTCCTTGGGGCCTATCAAATAGTCATGTAATTGCTAAGATTTAGTGCGGTTACATGACTCTTCAGTTTCACAATATCTAACATCCCTAATCTGTTGTGCTAGCTCAATTAGCACTAACGGTATGGCTGCATGAGCTAGATGCGGTAACCCAGGACCCCCTACTCAAACTAGCTTTGATCTATCTATTTAAGTGTCACAGGCTGCAGTGTGGACCTACCACCTGTCTTTTTAAATTTCTATTAGTCTGATGGTTGCAGAAAAAATTGACATTTTGTAAGACAGAATTGTATAGTGAAGCGCACACTTTCTTTAATGGACAACCTGATTCTGATCTGACTTATGAGTGTAAGTCAGGAGAAACTCCACAGAAGTATCTGGAATCGTAAGTACATAAAAGTAACTCTTAATTTACACTATTGTGAGAACAGAATGAGGCCCAGACAGCTGCTTTTTTTGTAGTGTCTGTGTTGAATTAAATCTCAGAGGATTAGCTGTTAGCTTGTAATTTTAAAAATGAGTAGTCTTGTGGCACCTTACAGATTTTTTTATTTATTTATATACACACACACACACGAGTTTTCATGGGTTTTGCCTACAAAAGCTCATGATATATAGTGTATTTGTTAATGTCTAGGGCGATGTTGACTGCCAAATTTCAAAATAAGCTACGCAATTTACGGAGCACAAATTGTGTAGCTTATTTCAAGGTAAGAGGGCTGTGTAGACGCATCCTAAGAGGCCACAGAACTACTCATTGGCTACGTCTAGACTGGCATGATTTTCCAGAAATGCTATTAACTGAAAAGTTTTCCGTTAAAAGCATTTTCGGAACAGAGCGTCTAGATTGGCACGGCCGCTTTTCCTCAGAAAGTGCTTTTGCAGAAACGCGTCTGTACCAATCTAGATGCTCTCTTCCGCAAAAAAGCCCTGATTGCCATTTTCGCGATCGGGGCTTTTTTGCGGAAAACAAATCTGAGCTGTCTACACTAACCCTTTTGCGCAAAAGCTTTGCACAAAAAGGACTTTTGCCTGAACGGGAGCAGAACAGTATTTCCGCAAGAAGCACTGATTTCTTACAGTAGGAAGTCAGTGCTTTTGTGGAAATTCAAGAGGCCAGTGTAGACAGCAGGCAAGCTTTTCTGGAAAAGCGGCTGATTTTCCGGAAAAACTGGCCAGTCTAGACACAGCCATTGTGTTTGAACTAAAATAGTCATGCAGACTTGGAAAAAAACTAGTGTGTGTGTGAAACACAATACAGCAGTTAGATTTCTAAAAGTGAACTGAGGCCTGGGCTTTGGGGCTTTAGTAAACAAACAATATTTTGCTACTAAATTTGTACATTGTTGCATACTCCTCTCTACTGGTTAACATGGAGAATGGTTTTCTAGTAAGCCAGGGTATTTTTTGACTGGGTTTCAGAGTCACAACTGCAGAACTTTGAACCCTGCCTCCTAGCCTTTTCTTTGACAGCCAATTAATGATTGCATTAAAAAAGAGGCATAAACTACTTACGTTAAGTGAACTTTCTGCCGATGAAGCTACAATAGAAGCACTGGAAATTTTTTAATGCAAGAGTTTTGTCAGAAAGTGAGTTTGTCAAAACTGAATTGTCTGTGAAACCAGGTTGGGTTTTGATGAACTTACATTAAATCACAAAGGGTTCAGAGGGAAATCTGTCTGGCAGGCTGCTAGCACACCTTTACAAGCTCAGGTTTTCAGGCTCCATAGGCAGCAATGCCAACATTCCTGTTTGAGCCAGGGCTCTTGGGGATACAGGCTCCTTGCTGCTGAGCCAGGAAATGAAGGTAGTCAACTGGGAGCATGAATATCCTGAGATGAGCTTGTAGGCTGCATGGCTTGGGGACAGGCCTATCATATGTATTGCTGTGAGTATGAACTTCAGAGCTTCCATGCATCTGGGCCAACTGGCAGTGCCTGACTTCTGAAAAGGGGAGCCTGAAGTCCCCATGGAGGGGCTACCCCAGAGATGCAGACCTTAACAGCTCTGGCTCCTGCTGCTGAATGGAATGGAATAGCTGTGTGGAATCGATGAGCAGGTTAATTGCAGTGAGCCCCTGCCTGTCTTGGCCACATATTTTCTCACAGAATCACTAGGCATGGGTATTGCTCAGAGAAACCCTTTTGGGGATTTCTGGTCAGAGGCATTTCAACAATGTTTCAATCTGACTAATTTTGAAATTTCTCATGTATTGGAAATAGTGAGTCTCAGTTGTGCTGACTTGTTTTCTCCCTTCCCCCATCAAGCTGCTCACAGCTGCAGGCGCAACAGGGGCATAAGCAGCTTTCTATGGCTGGATTAAAGATCTTGTCTACACACCCTCTCCTCATGTTTGCACAGAGGAGTAGGAGGCTGAAGAGCAGACTCTGAACTCCCTGCAGACTGAAATCGGTGAGTTTTTATTTCATAGCAACACGTTATAATGGTGTCTGACACCTGTAAATGATAGGATAAATAAAAGCTAGTGAGGCTATTCATTATGCCTTTTTTTACAAGCTGGCAAATGGTATGAATTCATCTGACTTATTTTAATGACTCACGGTCACCTAAGAAACACTTTTGCCCTGATTTCTCACAAATCAGAAATCCCTAAAGGGTTTTGTTTGCTATTCTTCTGGTTCAAAGAACAAAATCGGAAAGAACTGTACACTTCCCAGATGTCAGGCTAATATAGTGCCACAAATCACTGTGAACTATACTTGGCATTTTTATTAACAAATGAGTTTAACAGTTCAACTAGATTTATTAAAAACCTGTTCCAAGTAGTGCAAATGTTCAGTTACATCTTCATAATATTAAATGTCCTTGCCATTCCATCCCATTATGTCATCTTAGTCTCCACATCAATTTTAAAAACTAGTCAAGATTGTGATGGGGGAGAGAGAAATAAACAGACACCTTCTTGAAACAAAAACATTTATTGCAGTGAAAATAAGACACGATTACATACAAAAAGAAAAATATACCCTGTATGTACAATGAAATGGCTCTTCTAGGCTAGGGCAAAATAGGACTAGATAGGACTACTAGGCAGCTTTAACTAAAGATGGGCTTTGACTGCAAGATTCAGTTCCTAATCTCAACCCCTAACGATGCAATTTTGTTTCAGATGGCTATATGACAGGGATTTTCCACCACGACATTTAGATCCAGCTTTAGGTTCAAATTTCAAAAACACGCCCGCCTCCCATTGAATACTTTTTAATACTGAACAGATCTGGACTTGACAGCAATCTCTTATTTTACCTGAAGCATAGATTGTCAGTACAGCACACAGGAAGGCATGAAGCCCTGAGGTTGAGGGGAGTGGTTTATTCTCAGAGCACCATATTGAAAATGCACTTTATATCAGAATAATTTTGGAGTCATATTCTTCTTTATAACCCAAGGGCAGGGTACTATGCCAAGGTAATGTAAAAATTTAACTTTGTAGACAGCTGACTCTACTGTTCTCCTCAACTAGACTGGATTACAAGGGCCCAAAACAGAAGATGAAGATTGGTGTAACATAAGGGCATCCCAGCTGTGCCCCCTTGGCCTGCTTCACCAATTGCAGGGGCAGGGGGAATCTTCCCACTGTTTCTACAGTGCCAAAGAATCATGTTTGCAATAGGTCCATGCAAGTTATCTTTGAGAGGCTGATTGCACAGACAGGGCAGTACTCAATGATCACACTACTTCATAAGATCTGGTTTGTTGATTATAGCATTTTGAAGCCGCACCCAATTATTGATCATTGGCTCATAAGAGTTGATTTCCTGCTTGACACTTAGGCCATGAATCTTTACCCCTGGCATTGAAATGGAGAAGAATAACCCACCAACCTGGTGAAGTATCCTCCCAGACCAGCTGAGGATTGCTGAAAGAACATGTGGAAGAAGCGTTTTTCTTTCATAGGAATCTCTCCCATCTTAGACAGCTGGACTGAACAAATTTGGGAAGTAAGTAGTCTTGCCTTGATTAAATCAATGTGCATTGGAAAAGTGGTGATGAGAGGTTTGTTGGCACTAGTTGACCATCTTGGTTAAATTAGCTTCATTGCTCAGGCGGAAAAAATGTTCCTGATCAGCATTAAATATAAAAGATCTAAACATCTCGGGCTATGTCTAGACTATAGGACTTTATCACAAAAAGGTACACAAATTGTGCTCTGCAATTTGCGTACCTTTTCCCAATATTTTTTTCAGAAGTGGCTTTTCCAAAATTTGGCCTGTTTATACTGAACCAAATGTTGGGAAAAAACCCTCTTTCATGGGAGGAGTAAGACAGGGCTTCTGAAAGAGCGCATTTGCTCTTCCACTTTTTTTTTTTTGCAGAAGAGCAGACACGTTCCCCTAGACCCCATAGTTTAGACATGCCTCCAACTCAGAGCCTTACAGATCTAGATACAAATTTCATGCTGGCTCCCTTGATTTGAATAGACCATGCCAAACCTGCACAAGCTTTGACAGTTCAAAATACAGGTCCAAATCTGCATCGGAAGCACATCTTTTCACATACTTGTTCTTATTAACAATTTTTTTATTTCTAAGTAATTAAATCTGGAAAGTAGGTAAAAATCTTAACATTTGGTTTCCACTAAGCCAGAAGTGGGGTTCCCTTTTTCCCCATTAGAGATTGCAGAGATCAGAAACTGGGTAAGCAAAATGAGGACAGGTAAATGGTATACTATCTTACTCAAATAGGGAGGTAAAGGGGGCCTGATTTGGAAATAGAGCTTGTGGTTGACTAGTACATTATTCAAGTGATAGTATTCTAATATGTCAGCTGGATTTTATCTGATGGGGGCATACAATGCTAAGAAGAGAAAATCAGTGCTGAAGGAATAAACAATGGTGTGAAATTAAGTACAATAAGTAGTACAATTAAGCCCTTATGAAAATAACCAAACATAGGGAATACAATAACTGTACAGTAAATAACACATTCATTATTCTACAGAAGCACAAATAAAAAGTAACTATATTTAAAATGTTAAGAGGATAAAAATAGCTGCTGTTCTATAAAAATTTGAGGGTAGGGGTTAGCCCTTGTTTGTCCCAGATTACCAGTTGTACAGGAGAACACACACTCATTCTAATATTTCTTGTGTTAGCAACCCCTAAGCCCTGCACCATCTCCCTCAAGGATTGCCTTGCAAAGAGACATGAGCTTTGCCATGAGAGCTGCAAGCTGAACATTATGCTGTATGTGACTGCTTATTTATTTTAATCAATAAGCAACAAAAAGGGGTAAGTCATCCAGCCATACATAACGAACTTCTCTATCTAGATAACAAAACATTTTCTCTGGGATCATTATTGGGCCATATCAAAATAATGCTGCTATCACTTGAGCAGAGCCAGTCTCGTCCTACAAACCTCTCACCAGGAACCCAAATATTCTCCCCTCCTCCACTAATACTTTACTTTTGAAACCTCTAAACAGTGGGGAGGGGGGAGGGGAGAGAAATACCAGAGTAACATTAAAAATCTGTATTTTATTTCTTTGTATACCGAGCAAAAAAATCTTCATGCAATGAGAAAATACATGCACAAACTTTCAAAGTCCAGGGCAGGAAATGCTTTTTCCCTTATTAAAAGTAAGTGAACTTTCATGACCTCTGGTCACTCTCATAACTGCATTGAGAAAAGCCAAAGATAGTAAGAAACATTCCTACAGTTAACCATTCATTTAGAAAATATCCAACCAGCAACGTTTTAAGATCCATATAGTGTAAATACTGTAAGTAATTGCAGTTATGTCTGTGCCCTGTTTACTTGAGCAACAAGGTCATCTTCCTCTTCTTCCATAAAACTGGTTTCAGATTTTTTTTTAAAGCAGTTTCCTGAAATGAGAAAAATAGGCAGGTAGAGACTACATTCTTCTGTGGGCTTTGTTTTAAAGCTTGTAAAAAGGGTTGCCCAATTACTTTCCAGTTGAGGGAAATTTAAGATGTTCATTTTAAATAAGTGCCACCGTTATTCTCATTTAAACAAATTACTGCATTTGAAATGCCTGACTTGTTAAGTCTCACAACATTTTACAGTGGACAGATCTTTAATCTATTCCCCTGAAACATTTTATTCCAATCTTCTTGAATAACAAGCAGCTATAGAAATTCCTAGGAGTATAACTGCTTAAATAATTTTTCATTATAAGCCCACTTATGTGTTTAACTACACAAATTAGAAATCTGTTGTAGATTAAGGATTTCTGGACATGTATTGCAGGTGAAAAATTCATGTAGAACTAAGTTCCATTGCAAGTTTAAGGGTAGTAGTAGATTATCAGTGTATCACTTGTCCTCCTAGAATTTCCACAGTTGTAGCATGTGTTACCTACTAGGGGTATTAAATTTAGTTTAATCAAGTAGTCAATGTGTTTTCCAGATGATTCCTGTCTCCCCTTCCGCCTCCAGAGGCAGTACTGGGGGGAACCAGCTTTTAAGCCAGCTCCCCTCCGTGCCAGCGCCTGTTCCCCCACTTGCTGCTGCCGATAGAGGCAGCAAGTGGTGGGGGAGCAACTAGTTGAGGGACTAGTGGACTAATTGCTTACATCCCTATTATCTACTAGTTTTTGTTATGGGCAGAAATATTATTTAGAACACCATTTATAAAAACTTTAAAATACATTTAGCATGAGTTAAAGATAGGAATCGGGAGGCTGTTTGCTTTCAGCTGATTCTAGCAAATAGAATTTCCACAGGCAAGCTTTGATGGATGCTTTGAGTCTTATGTCTGGGAAGCTGTAGCAACTGAGCTTATCCATTAATATGGCAGGCTTGTAATTTTATTGCACCCACAATTATAGATAACACTCTTTGCCAGTGACTATTGGCTTGGTTCATTACAGTGTTGAATGTGAAGAATTCAAAGAGGACAAACTGGTAAGATTTGCTTGTCTGACAGTTTTCAAATACCAATTTTGAAGAGAAACCTACTGAATATTAACAAATTTTGAACAGATACTGAAAAGGCTCTGTTAACCTGTGTTTTATGAAACAGGCTATTTCATGTCCAATACCTCTCTGCTAACAATTCACTTCTGTTGTTTGATCTACCTTTTTTCCCCCCCGAGGTGACTAAAGCTTTTGGGTGCCGTGCTCCCAAAATCACTACCCAAACTAAAAAAATTTGACTTTGTGCAGTTACAGGCAAGAAGTTTTGACTTTGCCATTCCCTTTCCATGAAGAATTTCTGCCTCCAACAGTTGTTTTTCTAGGAGTCTCAACCTTTGACATCTCAGGAAATTGCTGTTCAAAGTATGCTGCTGAACTATAAGGAAATTCTTTCCTGATCCACATACACAGATCAAATCACTGTTGTACAGTTGCTGCAAACCAGTTCAACGGGTATTATGCATAATGTGATCTGTAGTGTAGGTCAATAATTAGTATTTTACCCTGAAACAGCAAGTATATTGTTAATCTCATCATTTCTTCTTAGGAATAAAAACAAACTTTTGAAGCTATTTGTTTGTCGAGGACTATTCCCCGACAGAGTACACTATATTCATTACTTTAGACACAAGGTTTCACATACTCTGTTGACCCATTCCCCCCCACAAGTAGCCATGGTTAACAAATCAATAAAGCATGCTCTATTCATAAATAATAAATTGCTGGTTACTGAAAGATGCTTCGGTGAAACATTATGAACATAGAAAAGAACTAGTTGTGCCTAATTTAAAGATGGCTTTTGAATTACAGTATTAGTATCACTTTTAGTATCATCTATTTGTACCTTATAAGATGATTGATTAGAGTAATTCAAGTAGATACTAGCAAAACATTACAATAGTTCAATGCCAATACTTATTTACTAAATCTAAGAAAAATAAAATAGGAACACTTAGTCCTTTTGTACAGTGTTAACATGTTTAATAGCATGTATGGACATTAAATCTTCATCTTGCCAACCTTATTCAGGCAAGATTCTCACTGCAATCAATGGGAATGTAGCTTGAAAAGGGAGAGTGGGTCAAGTGTAACGAGCTACACCACTTGGAGGTGAATGGATCTTCATCATCATCCCCAGCTTTGAGAAGAGGAAACTGGGCCACGTGTGTAGTGACATGTCTAAAGTCCCCAGGAAACCAAACTAATTCCCATTTCTCTACCCCACTGAGCAGCCTGCCTTGCTTTAAAAGGAGACAGTCACAGGAAATATAACAAAAAACACATGGAAACCTGCTAAGATGTTACTGCGAGAACACATTTTACTTACATTTGATGTTGTCTGACAAACTCTGCAAATTGCCGATCTTTGGCGTAAAGCTCTATAATCCGTATTCTGTCCTGGATTTCCTGTAATACAAAATATGCAATAATAGTAGAAGAACAAAAATAAATACTGTGAAGTATTATACAGAAAACTGAGTTTTACTCCACCTTACAAGTGGCTGAGCACATTTTTATAAATTGAGCATGTGTAGAATTCAGTATAATTTGCAGAACACTGTAAAAAGGAGTCTAGTAATTCTTGTTATCATTGGACCAACTCTTCAAAATTAGTGCATGTTTGCTAATATGTACAGAAGCTATCCATACAGTTTTAGTAAAATCAAGAGATTATGAATGGACAAAATGACATAGCAAAATCTTTTATCCTCAAAAGAGGGCACCTGTATATGTTCACACAAAGAAAATGTCCAATAATTGGGATCTGAGTCTAATCTTTACCTCAAGCTGAACCTCTCTAGTATCGCACCCTCAGGACCCTCACCCTCTGCAGAGAATTTCCTGATCCATGGGTGGTCAATATTGTCTATCAACATTATCAACACTTCCACTACTTACTTGGCTCTTAGAGAACATTTAGGAGTAAATTAGAGCTAAATAACAGCATGGAACACGGAAGACTTAGTGGCTATAAACAAACTTTTTGGGACTGCAGAAAACTTGGCCACACCTATGATAAGTGGACATCTGGCTAACTGAAATCATACCAGACCAGAGAGGTTCAATCTGTAAAACAATGTAGATTTCAGTGTAGTGACAGTGAGAGAACAATCATGTCCTACAGTGATAGAGACTACAGGAATGACAACTATAGTTTATACAAAGCACTGAGGTACTATTAAAAATACAGCTAAAAAAACCTTCACGACTATTGGTCACTGAAAGAATATTCCATTAGATATGCTACTTTAGACAAGACACAAACAGCTCTTTTTGTGGTATATATTTGCTTATAGTTGGTCAACACAACTGGTAAGCCAAGATGATGCTAAAAATGGCTGTAGCATTATAATTTAAGTCATCTATAGATTTAAAAACTGGTGGAAATTAACATTAATTTTACTCATTTAAACATTGAATAGCTAAAGGCCTCAACCATGACATAGGCCTCCAGAATAACATCCTTCCTGGGGCCTGCTCTCTCCCACATTTAAGATCTATTACTGTTCTGGAGCACCTTTTGAGATGAACATTTGACACAGGGGAGTCAGTATCATTTCCATCTTAGACCTCATTTCCTGATCTGTACAATAGCAACAGTGTGGTTTGCTCAAGGCTTCATCACTAGATTGTTGACACAAATTAGACTAAAAGCCTCATTTGCAGACCCCCAGACTAGCATCCTAGCTGTGGGATACATTTTGCCGTCTACACACTGATGTGGAAATAGGACAATGTTCCCAAACTCGGCAGCAGATTCTAGTAAGAAATAAAGATTTAGAAGAATGTGTGTACCCTTGGAGGAGATATTCTAGCTATACAAATATAATATATGGAGATATACCTATCTCATAGAGATGGAAGGGACCTTGCGAGATCATTCAGTCAAGTCCCCTGCCCTCATGGCAGGACCAAGTACCATCCTTATCAGATTTGCCCTAGATCCCTAAATGGCCCCCTCAAGGATTGAGCGCTCAACCCTGGGTTTAGCAGGCCAATGCTCAAACCACTGAGCTATCCCTCCCCCTATAGGACAACTCTTAAAAGGGGCACTGCTTCCTCCAGGGATAAAAACAAATGGCTTTTTGGGAGGACACCAACTTGCAGAGCTGTCCTGTTCACAGGACAGTTTGGGGTGACTGCCACAAGTGCTGCATTCTGGGGGGCCCTGTGGCAGCTGCCTCAAATGTCCTATGAATGGGGTCCTGTGTGGTCCGGGGGATCACCTGGGGGCCTGGTGTGGGGAAGCATAGGGGTGGCCCCTCTCCCACGCTCACTGAGGTGGTAGGAGCCTGAGCAACTTGGCAGACTTCTCCACCATCTCCTTCCAGCATTCTGAGCTCTGTTTCAACCTGGCAGCAGGAAGCAGAGCACGGCAGGCTGGCGGGCCCCTCCCGCCACTCCAGTGAGTGCAGGGGGGCAGGGGCAACCCCTGCTGCTCCTTCACGCTGGCCCTTCTAGTAATTCCCCTGCTCATGTTGCTCAGAGAGAGGGGATTTAGGACAAGGGGCAAAGAAGAGGTAGGACAAGGGGCAGGGCTTAGGGGAAGGAGTGGAGCAGAGGTGGGGAAGGGCCTGCAGCAGGGGGCTGCCCTAGGGCCTGTGCCCCCCGAGGGACAGCCCTGTCAACTTGACAATTTTTTTTTAAGTTGTGTGCCTCTGGTAGGACAGGAGTTTCTTTAGCTGTAAAAATACCCAAATATGTAAACATGCAGCTTCTTAACCATGTGAAATCTAGCTGTCTGTCTGTCTGTAGGCAAGAAGTCATCTCCTACATCTAGACAGGGTGCAGCCACAAGCCCCATACTTGTATTTTGAACACAAGTGCTCAGGGAGTTTTACGACACCCAACAGGGTTTGGTTTTAGTCCCATGCCTGTGCTCACTACCTGGCACTGTGGGGAGCAAACTTCAAAGTCACCCACCTCCTTTGTGAGCTCACTATGCTCATAAATGTGCCTGATCTCTTCACTGCTGTAGTCCGTGGACGTCTCTGCACTGGTAGAGCTGTAGGAGGTGAGCTGTGGGTATCTCCGATAGTAGTGGCTGTATCCGGTAGTATCACTCTCATACATTGGGTTGTACTTCACTGCATTCTCAATGGAGGAGAGGCTATCCCCCTGCCTGTGAAAGAGGAAAACAAAGTACAGGTCAAGTATTGCAGTCTTTCAGTGCGCTCTTCAAAACCTGGATCAATAGATCGTTAGAGTATTTTAGGCAACAGCAGTAGAGTTCCATTCATGTTCCTCAGGATTATTGAGGCCAGAGGGGAAGTGAGCTTGTTGTCTTTGTAAACTACCAGTGCCTCCTTTTGGGGTAGACTGCTAGCTATGCTTAAAGCCATTGTATGGCCTCTGCTCACAAAAGAACGTTCTGACAGTCTGTTAGCTCATGACCAACATTCAGTTTCCAATTGTGAAGGGAACTTCAAAAAACTGTGATGAAGCAATTTTGAAGTCCTGGGATTTCTTTGACCATGTTCAATCTAGCTTCAGCCCTGAAAGTCAAAAAATCTAGGCAGGAGGTGATGATTGTTTCTCATATTGTTTCATGCAGTCTTGTATGCTGTTGGCTCGTGCACTCCCTGGCAGGACAGAGTGTCTTGAGTGTTTCCATTACCTTCTCTAGAAGAAATCCCACAAAGTAGCTTTTGAGTAGTTGCTCACATGATCTTTGCTCATACAGATTCAGGGCAAACCCACCTCTCTTGTGCAGATGAAGCACTTAGTGAGGCAATTTGGACTTGTGTCTCCGCACTATACTGATGACGTTCAGCACCATAGCCTCTGCTGCATCTGATCTGACTGGTGCGTTGGACATACTGACCCAGTGTTTTCCAACAAACTGGGCTTGGAGGAAAGCTAGCAGGATGAAGTTAAATCCTCACTTGTTAGCAGGTTAGAAATAGGGATGTAAAATTCCATGTAATTGGTTAAACATTATATTTAACCAGTTAACCAATTAAAAAGGAGGGGAGGGTGCTGTGACCAGGCTGGAACAGTCTTCCCTGCCCCATCTTGCTGAGGACAAGGGCTGCACCAGCCAGCCGGTTAGAGCAGCCCCTGTTGTAACATGCTGCTTTGGCTAGGCCCATCATGGAAAAGGGCTTCTCCAGCCAACCAGTGGCAGCAGACCCTGCCTGCAGTGGTGTGAGGCAGGGCTGAGCCTGCTACTGACAGGGTCTGCCCTGGTCGGCCTGTTGGAACAGCTTTCCGCCTGCTGTGGGCCCCGCAGGGTTTGAGCAAGTGGGGAGCTGCTGCAGTCCCTACATCCCGAATTAGAAAATCAATTGGAAGAAGTGGTGGAGATTATACCTTCAATCCTTGAGGGCATTCACCTTTTGTTACTCAAGTTTGTAATTTGGGAGTCATATTAGAGCCGTAGGCGGTGGGGTCAATAGTGCTCTAGAATATTAGATGGTCTACATACCCTAATGAGTCCTCAGAATCACTTTTGGAGTACTGGTCTCGCAGGGTCCTGGCCAGGAAGAAAATTACAGCAGATGCCACAAGAAGGAAGCCAGCCACTGAAGCAATTGCAATACCCACAACCAATGGCTCTGAGACATACTCTTCACAGTGCTCTCCTCTGTACCACCAGTTCTCACCCACACGACATCTGTAATCCCACATACCCGGGGAAAAAACCCACCAAGGAAACCGTTAAATACTAATACCAAGAGATTAATGGAAAAATAAGACATCTTTCTTCAGTATTTACTAAGCATTATACTTTTTGTTTCTCACATACCAGTTAAGGTTGTTTAAGAATTTTAATAGACCACAATTTAGCTAATATATTGGGATATCTTTTGTAGGAATTTTTAAATGCTGTTTATTATTGACAAAAGTGTGTGTGTTACAGATGATCTTACCTACACTTAAATTAAATTAAATGTGTAATGCAAATCTATGATTGAAAGATTAAGAACTGTTAATTTATAAGACATCTTTAAAATATATTTTAAATATTTTAAAGCTATAAGGGGGATATTTAATTTCTCTAATGTTGTTGGCTATTGTAACTCTTATTTGAGTAAAGCATGGATCCTAATTGCTGAGACTAAAATGCCTATTTGAAGGAGATTTTTTTTCTAGCTTAATTATTAGTGTGTTAATTTCCTTTTTCTTTCTTCTGCTACCCAATCCCTTTTGTTGAAATTCATGGCTTGTTTTTTAAAATACTGTAGTGGTTCCCCCAAAGACAATTAAATATTTTGAATATGTAGCTAATACAGAGCAACCCCACTAAAATAGTTAAGAGTTATACCAGTGTGAGATCAGAATCAGGCCTCAAGCCTCTGGTACCAAAAATGTATTAAATGTCCAGCCTTCCTTGTCCTATTATTCATTTTGCTAGTCATTCTCAGTTCCCTGTATAATGGTGTAGGGTATCATGCCAGAATAGACTGCCTCTCAAAATAGACCAGTGTCTTTCAAAAATTGAAAAAAGAGCTGTTTATATTCTAGTATGTCTTTGTTTTGGTCTTTCATAATTTGGACCATTTTGATATTTGTTCATATTGGTTTCCTTTAAATTGGGAGTATCATTTTTAACTCTAGTATATTTAATCTGCCTTACAAATTAAGGATGTAAAGGACTAGTCGACTATCACATAAGCAAATGCTTATCGGATAGTCAGTCAACTACTTGCTGCCTCTATCATATGGAAGCAGCAAAGAGGGGAAGGGGAAGAAAGGGTACTTCAAAGCGGCAGTACCGCCCAGCTGAGCCAGGAATCAGCTGTGCAGTGTTGCCCCTTTAAAACCCCCAAGGCATTTCAAAAGGGCAGCCACCGTACAGCCAAGCCCCAGATCAGCTGTGTGGTGCTACCCCTTTAAAACACTGCTTCGGTGTTTCAAAGAGGCAGCGCCGCACAGCTGAACCCCGGATCAGCTATATACGCTGCCCCTTTGAAACGCAGAATTGAAATTCAAAGGGAAGTGCTGTGGAGCCTGGGGTCAGCTGGGGACTCCCAGCTCACCCTGGGTACCGCGCAGCATTTCCGCAGAACCTGGGGTCAGCTGGGCTCTGCACGACATGCAGCACAGCATGCAACCCTGGGTCAGCAAGGGACTCTGAGTCCCCTGCTGACCCCGGGCTCCATGAGGGCGCTGTGGCTTTGAAATGCACAAGAGCTCCTGCTGGGGACTCTTGTACATTTCAAAGCTGGCCCCTGTGCAGCCCAACTCAGCAGGACTTCCCCCTGACCCCGGGCTGCAAGCGGAGTTCCACATTCCTCCTTTGAAATGTACAAGAGCCCCCACTGGGGCTCAAAGGAGGAATGTGGAAGTGCCTATCAACTACTCGACTAGTCAATTAACCGCAATTTAACATCCTTATTACAGATCTGAAGTTGGTAAAAGAATCAAGGAACTGGACTTTCTTGATAATGTGTTTTACCACATGAATACATCAAATAATATCTTGAGTGTTATTATTAGGAACCTCTATCATTACACTCAAAGCAATGCCTTGTGGGTGTAGAGTTTTGTTTCTTGTTTTGGGATTTTTGGGGAAGGGGCTATAGAATAGGTAAAGCAAAAGTTTGTACTTCCTGTTTGTGAAAGATACGAAGACAAAGGATAACATACCTACATATGGCCCCTTGTCCTGGGATTATGTCGCACTTCCCATCATTTTGGCAAAAATCTGGTTGTAGGTCACATATGCTATTACAAGGCAATCCTTCAATGCTTAGATAGCCAGGATAACACACACACTCAGCCTCACCACTCCAGCGATTTACTAAGCATTCAGAGAACTCATTGCAGGCCTGGAACTTGCAAGGATCGGCTTGATCTCCTGACAATAGAGACATGCAGAGAGTGGAGGTAAGAGAGTGAATAGTTTTCGCTACCTGCTCTGCTCTAGGTCAATGCGCATTACCACCTACCGTGGTGAAAACTAATCCAGGAGATCATTTAAGACTCCTGGTCATTGTTAGTACAACTATAGCACTTCTAATGCATAGATTTCTAAGAGCTCTGCAAAAGAAAGTCAGTGGTGTCAACCTCTTTGTACCCTATTTTCCCATCTGTACTACAGGGATAATAAGTGACTTACTTAAGGCCATACAGTCAATCAGTGGGACAGCAGAGCATAGAATGTAGGTCTCCTGCCCCTTATTTTTGGTTCTCTACCCACAGGCCTATGCTGCTTCTTTCATGCTTTCTATCATTAAAACTTTTGCCATTTCTCCAAGTTACTTTTTATTTAAAATATGGCTGATCTCCAGCCCTATCCACAATAGAAGAGCCACACTACAGGCCCTGAGGAGAGCACAGTGAGGTTTGCCTGCATTCATGCAGTACACACAGTGTGCTAGCTAATGTGTGCACACAGATGTAAAATGACATGATTTAATTTGGTTAGAAAACTTCAGTATTGATTTTTAAACTGCCCTTTTCTAATCATCTCTCCCACTTTCTGTTGGAGGACAAGCTACATCAACGCAGGAGTCACCATTTGCCAACACATCTCACAGTTATTTCCTGTTTTTTTAAGTATAAGGAAAATATTTCTCAGTTGCCAATCTATGCTAATTGTTGGCAAATGCTGCCTCTTTAATTGCAAGGGGGGATCTTGTTTTCCTACAAATCTCTCTGGAAATGGAGGAATAGAAAAATAGAAAACAGATTCCTCTCCTCCCTTCCTTAACCAGAGGAATTAATTACAGAAAGGTCTCTTCCATGATTACTGAGATCAGAACTGGAATTCTAGAGTAAAGATGCATCCTCCTTTGGGCATTAAAGACTCAAGAATGACCAGAAGATAAGAGTCCAGTTTGGAGTCCGTTTTTAGCTTATGTAATATTAGGTGACCTAAGGAGTCAGGCTAATTAACACGTTTGGTACAGTGAACTTGGAGCAGCTGCCAGGATATTAACCCTGGCTATACTGAGCACTTAGCAGTAAGTTGTTCCCATGCCTCAACATCATATTCTAACATGAAGCAATTTCCCAGTATACTTATGTCCTTAAATGGGTTGTTTCTGGGAGGAAGGATTTTCCTGTCAACAAAGAGCTGCATGGAAGAGTCCAGCCAAATGGGGGAGCCAGGAACATGAGTATGCTGGAGCGGGTGAGGGGGGAGAGAGACAGTCAGGGTGGGAAGGTATCTGGGAAAACAAGAGCCAAATTCTATGTTCTAACCTTCCCTCTGTCTGCAACCCAGTGTGAAGTTGGTGGAGTTACACAGGATGTAGGTCAGCACCAAACGTGACCCCAAATTTCTCTAGGAGGCTGTAAAGTTTTGGTGAATCTTGGTTCCAACTTTGCCTTAATATGCCCCTCTAAACAGATTGGTTTTCCCAGTTTTTAAAAAACTCTTAAGATGGAGCAGAATGGTGGGTGCACTTCTCTAAGGATCTGAGACACTGAGAAAGTCAGCTCAGTTTCTCAACCCTGAGCTTATTTGATATGGCAGGTGCTACTTAATGAACTGGCAGCATCCTCATAGTGTCATTACCTGATTCCACATCCAGGGAGTACTTGTCAATGGCCAAGTTCATGGTCTGGTAGGCAGTGTTGCAGAAGTCTTCCAGAATTATATAGACAGCATTAGTGACATTGCGAGGCACAGGTTTTTGAAACTTCATTCGGCTGTTTACCACAATGCTGCCATTCCTGAAGTTCAGGATTTCAAGATTCTGGAAACCTGTTAGATTGGACTGGAGGTAGGGAACCAGCTGCAGTGTGGGAAACACAATAATATCTGTGCTGAGAGAGAAATCCAGTGATGGAAGATCTATTGCTGAATTGACGGTCCAGGTCAACTCTGCTGCTATTACATCAAACTGACTAGCTATTTTGTACTAATTAAATTTTAAAAAGGTGTCAAAACTGTATCCAGCTGAAGCCCATACAGCCCATATGCAGCTTGTCTGAGAGATTCACATAATTTCCATAAAACAGAGCAAATCACAGCAGGCTTCTTGTTCTAAAACAGAAGCATAGCCCACTGGATGCAGTGCTCTATCTTAATGCAAGCAAGGCGCATACTGAAAGAGCAGGACTTATCTCATTGAATGTCAGCTTTTATACATTTGGCTACTCCAGCCAAACTAATTGATGTAATATACAAAGGAAGATGTTTCAGCTTAAAATCTGACCATTACTCTGGCGGCCTTCTGCCACCCATAGGCTATTTAAGAGGTAAGTAGATCTAGAGGCAATTTAACTCACTCAACTAGAGATTTAATAGAGTAGACATTTTCAGAATAAAATATTTTAAAACAGGTGAGATCATTCAGTAACATATCACTCTACACTCCAAATTACATTCCCAATTATTTTACCTTTCACCTATGGACAGAGCAAATAAAGACTCTGTTCAGAAATTAACACAAGAATCCCATGGAGCCAATTAAACTACAGCCAATTAAACTCTCTGGTCCAGCAACATCCATGGAACGGAGCAAATTTAGTTAGCCAGGTGTCCACTTATCATGGATGTGACCAAGTTTCCCACAGTTCCATAAAGTTTGTTTTCAGCCACCAGTCCTGGCTCTCAATGATCTGTGCTGTTTTTTTAACCTTAATTGACCCCTAATGTCTTCTAAGAGCCCAGTAAGCAGTGGAAATGTTGTTAATGCTTCTAGACAATATTGACCTCCCATGGTTTGACAAATTCTATGGTTCGGCACCCGTCATGTCCCCAGGGTGCTGGACTAAAGAAGTTCAACCTATATATGATCTATAGCGGCCAACTATCTGTCCCAGTATTATTAAATATTTAAGGAGGGTATGTCTACACTAGCCCCCTAGTTTGAACTAGGGAGGCTAATGTAGGCATTCGAAGTTGCAAATGAAGCCCGGAATTTAAATATCCCGCGCTTGATTTGCATGTTCCCGTCTGGTCGCCATTTTTTAATTCCACTAGTCTGAAGTAACTGCCCGCGACTACACGCGGTAGTGAAACGGTAATTCGAACCAAGTCCTCATGGAATGAGGTGTAAACTGTTACACCTCATTCCATGAGGACTTGGTTCGAATTACCGTTTCACTGCCGCGTGTAGTCGCGGGCAGTTACTTCAGACTAGTGGAATTTAAAAATGGCAACCGGATGGGAACATGCAAATAAAGCCCAGGATATTTAAATCCCGGGCTTCATTTGCAACGTTGAATGCCTACATTAGCTTCCCTAGTTCGAACTAGGGGGCTAGTGTAGACATACCCTAAGAAACTTACTTTTGCCTTGGTAGATCTGTCCCATACCAATTAAATGTCAAAATGTAACATCCTAATATTAAAATAAAAGCTTTACATTTTTCAACCAAATTCTCTTACTACAAAATAAAAGTAACATCTACTAACATCAATGAGTTATTCTCAACCTGTGGGATCCACTAGGCCAATATAGTTTATTTGCAAACAAAATCTCTCTCTCTCTCCCTCCCTCTGCTCATATGCATTATAGGAAATGTTTTTAATTTAGGGCTTATGGTAGATGCTAGTAATATGTATCATAAAGTGACTCTTACCAGTTCTAAGAATCGTTGCTCCAGTGCCTTATATTCAGGGGAATTTTTATTGAATAGGTCCTCTGAGAACAGCATGTTGGTAACACGGAGACTAAAGAATACCACTAAAGCTCGTGAGGACACGGTAGTATTGCGATTTGCGTGCGTTGGCCAAGCTATGCTGGCCATCTCTGTGGAGTGGGCATTAGTCGATAGCTCCATGCGACTCTCTGTCATACTTCTTTCTTCCAGGTTCATTTCAGGAGGATACAACATTGTGCCTGTGTGATCCAGCTCCACTGAAGTATCCTGTACTTCTGTTGTCGTGTCCTGCCCCAATTTTGTTGAGCTAACAGTAGTCTGAGATACTGTATAATGTAGAGTAGGTGAACTGGACAGAGGACCAATAGCACTTTTTGTTATAGTCACTGTTGCAAAAGAATCCACTGCCATATTTAAGTTATCCAGGGTACTAATGTCATGGTCTGTACTAGACTGTCCAGTGAAATCTTCTGGATCAGTGGCCAGCTCCAAGATATAAGGACCTATGGTTGAAACATCAACCATATTTGGTGCTTCAGATTGCAGGTCTTGATCAGTAGGTTTCTCAGATGCCCTTTCTGTGTTGTGAGTTGGCCGACTGTTCAAGGGTTTCACAGCAATTGATCCAGCAATGTCTTGAGTTATCAAATGCAAATCTGGAGTTTGCTGCTCCTCTATGAAAATACCTGTGACTGCTGAGTCTATTGTAGGAGTCGCTGTAAGCGCTATTTCTGGCTTGAGGAGCCCAGTCCATGAAGAATCCATGTCTTGGTGCCCTATTGTAGTAGCTACATCTGATTGGCTTATTGTGGACAGTACTTCTGGCTTTGCCTCTTCCTCATTTTGGGTTCCTGCTTCTTCATATATGATTTGATAATCCTCGCTGGACACCTCAGCTTGTTTAATGCTGTATGTCCCTATAGATGTAAAGAGATGACGTTCTGAAAAGAGATCGTTTTCATGTGGCGAGGTGGAGGTCTGCTCTGCCATATCTAAAGGAGGATAGTCCACTGCGGGCTCATATGAAAAGGATGAAGAATAACCATACATGCCTGATGCCTCTGCTGTTTGCATGGATAGTTCCATATTCAAGTTTTCTTGTGTCCACACCACAGGTACTTGCTGCGTTGTGGCTTCTGAAAGTCCAGGTCCATGTGACTGAAGGTCATCAGGGAATTCCCTTCTTGTGTTGGTCACATCACCATCCTCAGGATTATCATTTAATTTCTCTATAGAATCAATTATATAATCTAGGATCTGTTCCTCAGGAATATCCTGTTCTCTGATCAACAAAGACTCATTTTTATCATTCAGTCCACTTTCAGGAAGAGGATGGAAAACTGGCTCTAATGTCACTATGCCCCATGGCCATGCCTCTTGTCCTGAAGCATCAAATCCTGAGCCAGATCCATCTTCAGATATAATTTCTCCTCCTGGATATAGATCAGGCTTCACAGGGTTCACCTCTAGATACAAGTCTGCTTCCTCCAGACTGTTGTGAAATTTGGAGTCAATGTCAATGAGCATGGTGTCTCCTGCAGTCTCTGTAGAGATCTTTCCATTATTAGGTTCTGATACTGAGGTAGAGGCTTTTGTTGTCATAGAAGTCATAGGAACCACAGAAGTAGCTATGGATGGCATTTCTTTTGGTACAATATGAGGGCGTAGACTATAAGGCAGAAGAAAGCCTTCTGACACTCCTCCATCTGCAAACACAGTCAACATTTTTCATTTAGTTATAGTTTATAATTGTAATTTTAGCTTGTCAGATTCTATTTCTCTTTTCTCCCCAAGAACCAGTAACTGTGTTTTTCTCTATTAAGTACCGTGATCTCCTTACGTGCCAAAGTTAAAAGCGACTGTCGTGGATTTATCTATCATCATATCTAACTAAAACTACTTGGCACAGTTTTTGTAAACTGGAATGGGCAAGGGGAGATGTGTATATACCATTAATCTTTTCAGAGCGAACAGGCCTTATTTGTTCCTATAATCATTTAGATTCAGAAGTTGGTTTTTCTACTCTGAAAGTGAAACTGACTAAATACATAGGTATTGGATAGAACTTCTAGGATTTTCTAAAAAGTTCTTTGAGGGGGCCCGGACTCTTGAGCACAAGGTATACATTGCTATCCAGACTTTAACTTTAGTAAATGAAGTGAAGTAACTTACCATCTTCTAAAGAAGCAGGGATAGACAGCCATTCCTGAGAATCCACAGGAGAGCCCCTGTCTAGCTGTGGTGTGGTGACAGAATGAAGAGTCTGGCTCCCTTCCTTTAGATTCATCCAAGCAGGGGAAGAAGTGAGGACAGCCTCCGGTGTTCCATTAAAGTTGTTCTCTGAATCCAGATTCTCTGACTTTAACCAGAACTCATTGCCATTGGCTTGTTCTCTATCCAAAGTGAAACCTGGTTTGGTGAAATCAAGTGGCAAGATATTGCTTGCAGTTGTTGCGTCTGCGGAGGGCCGCTCAGCTAAAAGGGCATTATCCTGAGAGACAAACCCATAACAATCTATTATTGGGTGACTTGTGTCTGCATAGGGACTGCACACATTATGCTAAGTGGTACAGTAACTGTGAACTAGCATCAGGTTCTGCTTGGTGGGCTTCTGTTTCCCTGGTTGAGGGTAAAATGCAATAGCAAGGGACTCTGAACTAGGAGCATTAGCAAAGGGTGCTGATGGTTAAGTTACAGGGGCAGGACTGCATGTACCTGATCATGCCTGTGACCTACATTTTAAGTCAGCCCATGTTCATTCCAAAAGGATAGGGTCCAATAAAGATTCTTTAGAGAACAGCAGCATTCCTTTGAAAATACTATTCCACAGCAGTGGGATACTGTGGATGGGAATATGACCCACCTATGCACAGCTGTTTTCCTTCAACCAACTGAAAGAATTTACTGGTGCATTGTAAATAAGATTAAGACTGTGTCCAAGTTATTTTTAGTGAAGTCAGGAACAGTTCACGGGCACTAAATGAAAATCCACAGAAGCCTGTGACCTCTCCCTGACTTTTACTAAAAATAACTAACCAAATGGGTCTGAGGTGGGATGAGAGCCTGAGCCCTACAGCGAGAAGGGTGAGGGCCCAGCTTCACCTGCAGCAGCTGGGATCTCTAGCCTCTGCACCCCAGGGCTGAAGTGGAAAATGTCACAGACGTCTCTGGAAGTCACAGAATCAGTGACTTCCATGACACATTTTTATACTTCGTTATACACCAATACTATTCAATTTCATGTTTTCACAGGCTGGATAAGGCACCCTGCGTATCTTGGCAGGCTAAAAAGCTCTCTCTAGGGCAGAAGTGGGCAATAATTTTTGATGGGGGGGGGCACTCCAAGAATTTAGAAAGTGGTCAAGGGCCACGCTCTTAAGAATTTGGAAAGTGGTCAAGGGCTACGCTCTTCCATATTAATGGAGGTGGTGTGGAGTCTGGGATGGAGATTGGGTGCAGAAGGGAGCTTGCAGTAAGGGATTAGAGTGCAGGAGTGAGTGTGGGGCCTGGGAGGCAGTTTGGGTGAAGGAAGCAGCTGTAACCTGGTACTAGGGTGTAGAGGTCTGGATTGTGACCTGGGGAAGAGGAGTAGGGTTTAGGAGAGGGAGAAGAGGTTTGGGTTGGGGCCTAGGGCAGGACAGGTTGTGACTTGGGGCAGGGGACTGGAGTGCAGGATCTGTCAGGGAACATGGGTGTAGGAGGGGGGCAGAGGGTTTGAGGTATGTGGGGTGGAGGGCAGAGGGTTGGAGTGCCAGAGGTAGTCTCTGGCCCAGAGACTTACCTGCTTGATTCCCAGCCAACAGCCTTGTCAAACAGACTCCCTGTCTGCCCCGTTCCACCTCCACACTGGCTGCAAGGGCCATGTGGTTTTTGAACAGCTGTGGGCCTGAGGGGAGGGGAGAAGCTGTCTGCTAACAACAAGCAGCACCCATTGACCAAAAACCAGCCAATAAGATTGTGCTGGGGACGGGAGCAGCACATGAAGCTTCTCCTCCCCCAGCCTCCGCCTCACAGCTGTTCAAACAGACTCCCACAGCAGCTTTTCTCAGCAGTATGCGGGGGTGGGAGAGGCAGGGAGTCAGCCTGAGGCTCCCTGCTGTGTCCGTGAGCCAGATCTGGTGGCTTAGTGGGCAGAATCCAGCCCACGAAGGGTGTTTTGCCCAGGCCTGCTCTAGCGTAACAGGGCTCTCCAGATGTTTACTCTCTAAGGAGCCTGCCAGGGATCACAAGCGGTGTGCTGGATTGCATTTACTAATCTTGCGTGACAGTGACAATACTCAATGAAATCTTGTAAACACATAGTTTTACAAATGCACCACAATGCTATTAGAACAGCATACTATTCATATTAATTCTATTAAAACTATGACATTTAAACAGGAAATTAAACTCATAAGAAACTAAATGATTGGACATCTAATTTCCTTTTTTATAAGCCTGATATTTTGACTGTTGCTTTTTGGGCTTTTTCTTTTATTGAAAAACTACTGTGCGGGACACAATCACATGAACTGCTAAAAGCACGTCAATTACTGAATGCTTTACATTGCATAAGCACCCGATTAAAGGCCTATCACTAAGTCAAAATTTATCAACACAATCTAGCTCTAGTGTGTTTAAATATACATTAAAAGTTTAGAAGTTAAATACATGGCATGATGAGAGAGGGAAAATAAATGCAAGTGCATATGCCCAGTCCCCATCAGTGTTCTCCTCCAGTTCCCCCAATCTGCTCAGAACCCCTCCCCCATTAGTTCTTGCCTCTAGCCCATCCTGCTCCCAAGCCCCTGCATCATTCCCACACTCATCTCTGCTCTTATGGGAATTCTTCAACCAATTCTTCCAGCCTAGGGTGGAGGGAAGCTACAGCAGAGTCCCCCTTCCTGCCTTTCAGGGTATAGGGGCTAGGCTCCTTCACCTCTCTCCCCTTTCTCAGATGGGATGTTACAGGGAGAGAACAAGGAGTGAAGCCACTCTGAACTGAATTACACTTTTGGCTCTCTCCTTCCCCTGCCCCTGCTGGGAGGGTTCCTCTGCTCCCCCCTTCCTACAGGAATAGGTTCGACTCGGGAAGAGGAAGAAATCTGTACTGCTGTTTCCCAAGCAGGCATGAAGGAGCAGCTGATGCTCAGTGGTGGGCCAAATGGGGGAGACTCATGGGTTGGATGTGGCCCAAAGGCAGCCAAATAAAGAACAAGTTTATGATCTACCCACTAGCTGCAAGTCCATCTGGCTACTACAGCAACCCATCCATCTCCTTACAGTTCATAAGCATATTTGGGTAACACCACACAGTTTCTATAAAGCCTGTTAAGACAGTGGAAACTATAGTAAGAGGCAGAACACTTAGAACTTACATAGGGCTTTTCATCTCCATGCTGAGGGAAATGCAGAAAGTAAACAAACAGCATACATGGTGAAAAGCACATTTGATTTCAAAACTATTCTCTGTTCTTTCCTACACTATGCTAGGATGTGGACATCATAACAGTCATAATGCTTAGCACTTTTCATCTTCAAATGTTAATCTATTCACACAGTACCTCTGGGAAGTAGGGGTAGGTACTGCCCCCTTTTTGAACACTGAGGAAAGATCAAGTAACTTAACCAAGACCAAAGAGGGGTCAGTATGTCATAACGGATTAGAATGGAAGAGCCTGGCTTCCAGTCTTCGGCACAGAAAACTAGAGCAATGTCCACCCCAGTGCTTCTTTCTCAGACTGAGGGAATAAGGTAAGAAAAGTGGGGGCATGAAAAAAAGGTCAACAATTTAAGAAAAAGAATAATTTTGGTAACAGTTAATCAATTCCTGATGGTGACCAATGCAGCTAAGTGAACAGTGGGCATTTTTTTAAAAGTAAATATTCATTTTAATTCCAAAACAAATATTGATTTAACCATTTCTTCTTTCACTTGGCCTCAACCATTTCCTTTACTAGCATGAATATCTGTCAAAAACTCATTTAAGATCAACTTGTCAATTTCAGATGGCATCTTTGGTTGTAAAACTTGCAATCTGTGCTGTGTAAGGTCTCTATCCTGCAGTGAGATTTAGTAATGTAGACACCTGGCTCCACCCAAGACAGGGATCCATGCTAGTGAATCATACTGCAAGACAAGTTAGATACATACCGTATATACTCGAACATAAACCCATTCGTTCATAAGCTGACCCCCCCAAGTTACAGAAAAAAAAGTAAAAAAAAATCAATGACCTGTTTATAAACGAACTCTATATCTGTATCTACATGTTTTGTTAGTCTATGTGCTACCAGACCATTTGTTGTTTTTTAAGTTTATCCTGTACAGACTAACTCAGCTACCCCCTGAAGCTTCTATATCAGTGGTTTACAAACTTCTGGTCCCACCTCGTCAGCGTAAGCTGTCGGGATGTTTTGTTTATCTGAAGCATCTGCAGATTCCCAGAGTCTGTGATTCACTGTTTCTGGCCAACACAAGTGGCAAGAAGTGGCAGCCAGCACGTCCCAGGCAATGGAAGCTGCGCGAAGCAGCACAGGGTGAGGGACATAACTGGCTGTAGGCATGGAGCCTCTCAGCTCCCACTGGCTGCCATTTGCCGTTCCCAGCCAATGGGAACTGAGGGAAGCAGCGTGAGCCAAGGAACCTGCTGGATGCCACTTCCTGCTGCTCCCATTGACCTGGAATGGCAAACGGCAGCAACTGTTCTAAGAACATAAAACGTTCCAGCACACCAGCATTTTGTCCTACTGGGCTGGGAACTGATGATTGCCAACTCCTCACCAGTAGAAAAAAAATGTGAAGCACAATGACCTGATCATAAGCCCCCACTCTTTACCATGTGCTTTAAAAAACATCGGCTTATGATCGAGTATACACGGTAATTCATCCAATAAGGGAGTAGAAAAATATTGTATTTATGTAATGAATCTGTAAAAGCAAGAATTGTGAACAGTCGCAATGGATTCTTCAAAGTCTACATCTAAGAATTATTCTCAAGTAACTTGAAAATTATTTTGAATACATAATTAAATTATCTGATTTATTCATGTGAACAATTTGTGAATAAGAAAAAATGTGAATTTCACACAAAATAAGCTGTTTTCTTGTGAATTATTTGTTCTGCTCTATTTAGCAAGTATTTGAGTAGCTGTTATTGCACTCCTGATATCTTTGTAGATGGTTTTAATTTTACCAATTGCAAGTTATTATATTTTATTATAATATTTATAATAAAATAAAAAATAATACATAGCAGTTTTATGCTTCAGAAACGATCTTAAGGAAAAAAAATCACCAGCGTGGTGTAAAACTCTCTTTTTTGCAAGATTAGTGAAATAAGTATTAAAAAAAATTAAAACTCGTGTCAATAACTTTTCAATGAAAATGTTTTAGATGTTAGCATGCAGGTGCCAAGAATTGCACTTCATCATTTATTTAATGTGTATTGGTGTTCCTATGACAACTAATACATTTCAAAGATTATTGTTATAGTATAATGTTATATTAACAAGTTTAATATTATAGTGGCATGATCTGTTTTTTGCCAATATCATTTGAACAATTTACTAATATGACATATCACTGTAAAAACCAAAAAACCCCACAATTTTCCAGGGCTTGCTGCCCGAAAGACATCACATTCAATAACCCATGCTCTTAAAATAATAAAGTCTAGTTTAAATCCTATCTCTGGGATTTGAGCAAGATACCATGATTATGATGTGAGTGGTGGCTCTAGAGTTAATTGATCATTGATATCTCATCAGTTTGTGAAATTAGGATAGTCCCACACAAATATGACGACATTAAAATAGTGTCCTAAAATTTAAACTATTACTATAAAATAAAGGTATTTTCTCTTACTGGTGCTATTATTACCTACTTAGCTGTAAAGTACAGATATTGCCTATAAGAAATTTTAAAAGTTCAGCCTGTTTGTAAACTGTCCATAAGCAATTTGATTTTCTTATTTAAATTGTTTCCCAAATAATTTCTGCATTGTTGATTGCACAGGGCAGCTTGCTGCAAGTATTGAAGATCTAAAATTGAAGCTCTTAGCTGGAAAGGTAGGTCATATGCTATTGTTTCTATTCCTTGACTAGATAAACAGAACTACTAGAATCAGGTTTCTGTTGCACATAATTGCTTTTACATGTTCATAATTCACTTCCAGAAAATATTTTAAAAAATCCAGTTAAAATTTATTATTGCAAACTTTCATTTGCTAAAATATCTGCAGCAAGTGAACATAGAAGCAATATACGAACAGCTATATTACGAACATAGAAGCAATATACGAACAGCTAAAATTATTTATTAATGCATGTGTAGAAACTATTAAGAATTCACTCAACTCTCACATATACAATATAGAAAACCAATCTCTACAAATTAGTCAATATATTCATGCTGTTCACCACAGTCAACTCCATGCAAATTTCTAGATTGCACAGGTTTATTTCCGAAGCTTTTCATCAGCCAAAGATTCCCACTGAAGTTATTGATACTACACATATTAATTACTATAGCGTATGTTAATATAGCGTATACATCACAACATACTCATATGAAGTCAATGGAATTTACTTAATGAAGACTTCGAAGATTTGAACTGAAATTAAGTGTGTCCAGGGTCACAAAACTATCTGCATAATAGGCCTGATCAAACTTTAGACTGGATCACCACCAAATCTAAGGATGTTCAGAAGCTGGGTCTCAATGTTGTGGCTTAATTGAGTTTATCACTAGAGCTATATAGACAACGGTTGCCTTAAATGCTTTCAACTTTGGAGAAAACATGGACATAAAAAAAAAGGATACTTCTTGTACTGGCCAAGACTTTTCTAGATTTCCTTTGCTGTTATGGAGATGAACGGTTGGGGGGGGGGGATTGTTTATTTGTTTTGTTTTTGTAAGAACTGAGCACTACACTTCTCAGTAAGAACAATGCTGTTGCAAAATTCTTTTTTAATCCAGTCTCTTCCATGGGCAAAATTTCCTCTCACATCTACTACTACTGTTCCAAGCAAAGGCCCTAATGATACTCTTCAGTTGTGAGGACCACCATTTCCCCATGAAGCCATATATACTCACAACATTGCAAGAAACCAAAAGGGAATCCTACAATGAAGGCTCAGCTAGATAAGTTGTAAGTAGTACACAGTATTGGCTTATACTGAAAAGAACAGGTCAGGCTCTGTTGTAGAAGGTGTGCCACTAACTCAAAGACCAAATATTTCACAAAAGGAGGAACTTTCAAAACGGAGTTCTTTCATGAGACTGTGTATCTCTATATTGTGTGTTTCTGAGCATTCGTTCTGTATTTCAAACATGGACGGGAGCTGCGTTTCTGGATTCTGACTAGACTTCCACCTTGTAGAATTAAACTATTCAGATGTGTTGGTAAGTAGGAGGCTGGAGGACAAATCAGAGTTACTAGAATCAGAATGCAGTTAAAAAATGTACTTACATCATCAACTTCTGGAGATACAAGAACAATCGGATTTTCAGTAATCCTAGATGTATCTTCAGGTATGGGGGAGAGAACTTCTTTTACTGGAGAAATAAAAGAAATGTTGCTAAATCACAGTTCATACACAATGTTTATTGTAGTTTATTGGATGCCAAGTGTGGTTTTTTAAATGCTGTCACAGCTGAGGAGTGCGTGAAAATAATTAAAAGCACAGGATAAGTAAACATTCAGCATTTGAATTGGTCTACGGCCCAATTTATCACTCAATATGCATTTAGAGAATGCAAGGAAGCTGTTTGTACAAGTATCAGGGTACTGTGGACTAAAACCCTCCTTCATTTTCCCTCTCCCATCTTATATTTCCTTCCAGGATCTTCTCAAAGTGCTCACCAGAATGATTCTGAATCTGGAATTCCCTTTGTCACTCACATTTGAAACAAAGAGAGAGCAAGTTTAACAACTGCTTCAATTCCCTTTGAAACAAAGAGAGAGCAAGTTTAACAACTGCAGACAGATCATTTCCATTGGCAACAAGAAGGTTGGAAAAGCCAGCACTTATCAGGCTTTAGTCTGTGTTGCCATGGTCCAATTCAGTGCTACTAGGGTGAAATTCACACAATATCATACAAAGTATACATTTTGGGTAGAAATTATATTTCAGTTGCTGATACATGATTTAAACAATCAATGCATACCTTAAAAGTTAAACATCGCGGTATTAAAGTCATGTAAGAGAGGCTAATAGAGTGGTTCAGTGATGGGTTCCTACCACTAGTGCTTCACATTGAATTTGATAAAACCAGGAGAAAAAAAGAGCCCTATGCACCATATTAGTGCAAACAACTTTCTCCTTTTCAGAGAACTCTCCTAATCCACTGCACCACATCCTTCCTCTTCTCTAAACACAAGTTCTGATATCCATAGCACAGCATTTTTTAAGGACTACACACCATTAATGAGCTGGAGAGAGTCAGGGTCCAAGGTCAAAGAAACATTTTCAAGGAAAGAGTTCTTCTGAAGGATTTCAGCAATGTAAGTTCTGAAGTCACTGACTGTGTAGACAACAGTTGGGTTATCCTCAAGTTCCATAAAGGAGTTGTCCTCCACTTTGTTGGAATGAAGGTTAATAAGGTCCCAGGTGGCATTGCTGAGGGCTTCCCCAACAAACGTGACAGAATAGTGAACCTCCACGCCACTGTGGTTTTATAAAGAAAAAACAACAACTATAGATCAGAGCTAAACAGTTTGCAACTCTAGCAGACAATCTAGTTGTTTGAGAGCCAGGTCTCATGCTTGGAAAAGATGCAATAGTTGAAAAGAGTGTTTGATAAAATGTATTTAATTGTTTTCATGTTTGTCTATGCCTTTTTCCCATCTCTGCAAAATATTTCATTGTTGTAGCAAAAGTTTCAGACCGTGCTACCCACACTCAAAATCTCAAAATTTGTCTTTATGTCATAGTGATAGAAATGTAGCCGTGTTAGTCTGGGGTAGCTGAAGCAAAATGCAGGACAATGTAGCACTTTAAAGACTAACAAGATGGTTTATTAGATGATGAGCTTTTGTGGGCCAGACCCACTTCCTCAGATCAAATAGTGGAAGAAAGTAGTCACAACCATATATACCAAAGGATACAATTAAAAAAAATGAACAAATATGAAAAGGACAAATCACATTGCAGAACAGAAGGGAGATGCGGGGTGGGGGAGGGGGAGGAAGGAAGTCATAGTGATTAATAAGGCCAACCTACATCCAGAAGTGGGAGTGGAAACATTATAAGCAAGGAGAGCAGGTTTTTACTAGATCTTGTCAACCCCACGAATGGCTGAGATATTAAATCAGACTGGGAAAATGTAACCAAACACAAATATAAACTTTTGAGAGTCCTTGATCATTCATAGTAGACAGGTTACACAATTTAAGTCTTCTTTATATGGTTCTCTTGATAGATCTGAAGATGTATTCATATTATCTCTAAGGCCTGGAAAAGTACCTATTTATAAGAATATAGTTTCATTAATTTTTATTAAAAGTTTGTTTTGTAAATTTGTACATCTGAATTATTTGTACTAATCCTACTCTGTTTTCTGAATTTTCTTCTCATGAGCACACATGGAATTATTTTCCCACAAGACAGTGTGCTAATCAGATTTACCACACAGACCATGGGCACTAGGGTGCTTTAGATACTGGTTCACACTTTGGTGCTACAACATACACAGTGAGAAAATAGGGTTGTCTATGAAGTACCAGGAAACCCTGCTCTAAATATAGGTTTTCCTCTCGCCATAAAGCTGGCATGCATTGCTAAGTAATGTCTGGGCTTAAGAGTCCGGCAGGGCTAAACTCAGTTCAGCTGTAAGCAGCAAATGCAGCTGCACTAAACTCACAACTCTGCTGCAGTTTCACGGTTGCCGCCTTCATTGAATTTCATCTATTGTAGACACATTGCAGACACTATGTATGGCTATGGGGAATGGAAACAGAGCACAACAATGAAATAGTAGGCCAAAAAATCAGAACCCAATATGCTGGATGAGAATAATACCTGGATTTAATAAAGACATGCTGTCACTTGTGGTTAACTGCAATTAAAAACTATTCTGTCATCCACCTGAAACCAGTCCAAACATCTGCTCCTTGGAGCAGTGTTTCTCTGACTAGAGTCTTGGGCATCCTTTCTTGCAGAAGCACATGGTAACAAGGGGATGGCTTTAATACTCTACTTTAAAAAAAAAACCAGAAATTTGTTTCTTTCAATCCATTCTTCAAAGATCAAATGCTGCTTTTCTATTGGATTTGTTTATGGAAACCAATTTTTATGTTAAGATGTAAACTAGATGGAATTTATATTTGACCTTTAATGTATTAGGAACCCACAGTTCATTGACTTTTTTGTCAAGTAAGTTCCTAAAAAAGGAATCAAAGAAGCTTGTATTAACTGGAAATTACTTCAAAATTATTTAACGGAATAGGGGCTTCAAAGAGTTCTCTCTCTGATTGCATTTTAGAAAATCTCTAACAAAAAGTCAATAAACTGTGGGTTCCTAATCCATTAAAGTTCAAGTATTAATTCCCTGTAATATGCATGCATAATTTTTTTATATACAGGCAGTACCTGGATTAAGTACAAGATAGGGACTGTAGGTTTGTTCTTAAGTTGAATCTGTATGTAAGTCGGAACTGGCGTCAGCCACTGCTGAAACTGATCAGTTTCAACAGCGGCTGAATCTGGACGCCAGTTCTGACTTACATACGGATTCAACTTAAGAAACCCAGGCGTCCCCAAGTCAGCCGCTGCTGAAACTGAGGCAGTACCTGGATTAAGTACAAGATAGGGACTGTAGGTTTGTTCTTAAGTTGAATCTGTATGTAAGTCGGAACTGGCGTCAGCCACTGCTGAAACTGATCAGTTTCAACAGCGGCTGAATCTGGACGCCAGTTCTGACTTACATACGGATTCAACTTAAGAAACCCAGGCGTCCCCAAGTCAGCCGCTGCTGAAACTGATCAGCGGCTGATTACAGGAAGCCCGGGGCAGAGTTGCTCTGCCCCCGGCTTCCTGGAATCAGCCACTGATCAGTTTCAACAGTG